TTGTAAATGCAACAAAGGCAGTGAAGGCTTTTCATCGATGACATCCATCTAAATTAAGATGAAGAGTAATAAATCTTTGGTATAAAAGAAACAAGGTCTAGAATAGATTGCATTCTATCTTCTATCTTTTTTTGTAGCTTTTGTATATTTGTGACACTAAAGAGATGGAGAATAAAGAATCAGAAGATTCAACTCAAGAGCTTTTATTTAGAAACTTATCAAATGAGACATTACAATTATCACAACCTTTAAGATGAAAAAATTGAGATGAAGATCCTCAAGAACGACATATCTTTCCTCAAATAGATGATAAGATACAATGTATTTGATATCACAACGTTAGAAGAGACTCTCAATGTTTGCTCATTTTATTAGAGGTAATAATAACTTTTGAGAGTATTTTAAATATTGTATTTGAAGGAAGTTATGAAGGCCTCAACAACGATGAAATAATAGGATGAACTTTTTACCCTGGTATGGGATACTATCGATGGCTAAGAAGGCCTATCAACTATCTTTGAAGAGAACAAAGATTGGAATATGTAATAAATATAATTTCTGACATCTTGGATTTTTTCAACATATAAAGACCAATCTTTGTGGAACTCATCTCTAGAAGGGAAAATAATGTCATGGACATACACATGTTAATCAATAATTACCTATATGATTTAGATAATAATATGTAAAAGTAGGTTAATTCTATAATATCTTTTATAGAAGCTTTTTAGAAGCTTCATAGATGGTATTTTGACTTTATAAGTATCTTTGATTGACTTTTAAGGTTAGAAATATGGTTAACAAGTTGGCCATGTACCACATATGTTGATAGCTTGAAGAACAAGCTAACTATATAACTCACACATAGAAAACTTGCCTTATAAGCTAAAGCATGTGTCCTGCAAAGTTAACACATATTAGAAGTCCTATAGAATATCGCCATGTAGCTTCTAGTTAGATAGTATATATAGAGGCAAGACTGAAGCCCTCTTCACTTTTGTCAACTCTTTTCTTGCTTCTAATCTAGATTTAAGAGTCTCTAGTTTTTTGTCTTTTGGAAATAGCGATTTTAGTTTCTTTTTAATATACATACTACTTTATTGCTATTTTTTCACTTTTCTTTTAATATAGATTTTTCAAGTTTATGTATCCTCTTTCAGTTCATGACTTTAATAAGTGATGGTTAATTTGTTTAATCTATCACCCTCAAATTAATCTTTTAACTTTTAATAATTCCTATAATTTTTTTATTTAATAAAATGATTTTTTTCTTCTTTTCATATATCTCATTTGCTTTGTAAGTTATTACTTTACTTCTTCTTTATTTATACATGTTCTTAACTTTATTTTATTCTAGTTATTAGTTTAGTTTGTCAACAATCTAAATTTGAAGATATTTTTTTAATAAATAAAAAATTTCTATCATGTCTTTTGATAATTTGCATGGATATATTGTTCTATGCATTAATTAAATGGTTCAATATGTAATATTTTTTAATTATTATTAAATTATCTTGTAGCTCATGATGTAACTAAATTTTCTTTAATTATTATTTTTATCATAAAATTGATTCTATTTACTAAATCTACCAAGTTTATATTATTTTGTTATTTGGTTGTACATTATTAATAAGAAAAATATTGTTATTATTGCCTTCTATGGATTCTTGTATTTAAAAACTTATTAATTATATTTAATATCTCATTGGATTATTTTACAGCCATTTTATTGCCTCTTATTTGTTTTCATTTTTATTTTTTGATTTTATTTTATTTCATTTTGATTTTGTTGTTGTTTTTGACTCTTTGTCTATGTCCTTGTATTTTATTTTTTTTATTATTCATTTTTTCTTCTTTATATTATACATGGCTCTTCTTATCTTTGAATTAAGTGTATAAAAAAATTATAATTTTAAAATAAATACAAACAAATTTACTTGTTATTATTTGAAATAATTTATTGAAGTATTTGCTTCTTCTTCTTTGTCTTCTTCTTTGATTATTACTTTTTATTCAAATACATACATTGAATCTTATAAGGTCTAAACTAAGAAGTTTTAAATTCAAAAGAAATTATTTTTTGTCTTTTAAATATGGTTATTGACTCAAAAGGCTTTAGCTTTTGCTCCACTTAGGTTTTTTCTATTGTCTTTGTTCCAATCTGGTATTTATTTATTTGTATAGGCTATCCAAATTCCATTAATTCATAATCAATTTGTTAATACTTATTAAAGAATTCACTTTAGTTCTTCTATATTACAATGATTAGATAAATAATATTTGATTGGAATTAGTTGGTAATAATTATAAAGTAATTAAAATAATGTGTGTACAATACTAATTTTATAGGTCATACAATAAGAAATAAAACCATAAATAATTAAAAATCTTAATTAATTTTATGCTTACTACAAGTTGACAAGTAAATTTCTAATGAAGTACTTAATTATTTTTATTAATATACTTTCTTGAGATTGGCACATAACCAACTTATAATATTTGAGTGAAAAATAGTTTATTAAATATTTAATAAATTTATTCATGAATAATTTTTTTTATCATAAAGAAGATATTTAATTTTGTAAAAGTTTGTTTTTATGAAATTTAGATAGATATTACTATTATGTTTTTTTTTTTTAAAAAAAATCTTTAGCTTTAATTTAATTATTAGTGTGATTTAAGTCTACAAAAATATAATAATTATTCAAATATTTTGATGCAAGTTTGGTAGATCTTATAAATTACTGTATACTATTAATATAAATAGACAAATACTATTGATAATCAACATTAAGAATTTTAAAAGTTATTAATTTATAAAAAAAAAAAGTAACAATCCTTGTTATTCGAATTTATCTATTTTAGGATTTTTTGGCCTCTAATTATTGCAATACTTGTTGTAGAACTAAATATTCATAATGCCAATCAAACAATTCGTCTACTAAGATGAATATTATGGGTATATGGGCCAAAGTAGTTTAAAGCCATAGAAAATGATTGCATGCCTAAATACAAATACTATTTAATGCATATCAACTATTTAAATTCTTTATAAATATAGTTATATTTGTAGTTAAATCTACAACTTGTATTATTGGTTCTCATTATACCTTATAATTTAAAGCATTAACCATAGTATCTACTTTTCTATGGTTTTAAAATTACAACAAAGTTATATTCCATAAATAATAATAGCCATTATGTAACTTGATTTGACACTTGAATTTTTTTGATCAAATAAATAAATGCTATATGATTAATAAAAATAATTATATTATTTTTTAGCAAGTAGTATTGGATTTTTAAAACTAAAATAATGACAATTGATGTCATGTAAATTATACTACTTGCATCAATTTTCTTTAACTAGAAAATTTACAATCTTTGTATGTCATGAAGAGATATAATAATGACAATTGATGTCATGTAATATATCATTTATAGAAGGTAAAAGAAATAGATTCTTACATGTTGTATTGTTTGATTACTTAGTAATAAATTTAAGTTTAGATAGGTTTTTTTTCTTTTAAATTAAATTACTATAATTGTTGACAAAATAAATGCATCATTGAGTATTTTAACAAAGCTTGTATCTAATACTTAATTAATATCTTTTAAAATAACAGTTTTGTAATTTGGATTTATCTTATAGTAAACTTAATGGCTGGATGTCAAGATCTAACTAAATTATGTTTTTTGAAAATTGCAGTAAAACATTTCTTGAGCTTCTTCAATAACCAAACAAATACATCATAGTATTCTTTTAGTACTCATCTATGCAATTTTGCCAATTTCAATTCTAATTACATATTGGTTTATAAATATTTAGATTTTAAAATTTCAAATGTATATTTTTATATACATTTTAAATATTATGCAAAATTAAATTACATATCTTGAAATATTTCTAAAAAATCAAAAAATATATATTACAAGATTATATATAAACTATCTTTGTTTATTACACTATAAATTTTATATATATATATATGTTATAATCAAAAAACATATTTTTTATTTTTCTTTCGTATTTTTCTATTACTTAAGTATATTACTTTTACATCATTTAAATAAGATATTAAATAATATTAATAAAAAAAATATAATATTATAATTTTTTTCCTTTTGTGATTATTATTTGCATCATATATATTTTATATATCAAGAATATGTTCAAATATAGAACTTTTAAAGCAAACCAATCTTTTTTTATAATAAAAATCATTTTTGTTTGGCTTTAAATTAATCATAGGTTATTTTATTGTATGTAATTAATTTATTAAAATATATATCTTATTTTAATATAAATATTCCCAAATTTATCATTGAAGTAACTTTTAAATTCAATACTTAAAAATATATATATATATATATATATATATATATATATATATATTATAAAAAAATTATATAGATTAATTAATATAAACAACATGAAATTAAAATTTTAATATATAAATTTGTAGTCATTATAATAATTAATATAAAAGTTAAAAAATTAGCTACCACTATTATTGGTTCATGCACTTAATGTACAAATTCTGTATTATTTGATAAATCCATGACTAAAATTTATTGTTTTTACAAAACCAAGATGAAGATTTACAATATATAAGACAATCTCATGTACAAATTCTAAGTTTTTACTCTTATTTATAATCAAAATTTTTCTCAACATTATTACATAAAAAAACAAATAAATAGTAGCAAAAACATCATACATAAGCCAATTGAATTTTCCATCAAGTTGAAGAATTACATCAATTATGAACACCACAATTCAAACTATATATTTGACAAATATGCAAATAAACAAGAAAACTACTGAATTTCAAACAGTTTTTTGGCAACTTTAAACAACAAATGTCACACACTTGATTAACGTGTGTACAATAATCAAACATAAGATACTTTTCTAAAAAAAGATATATATTATTTTATATATATATATATATATATAATTATGTGGACTAGGTACATGAACAATTGATAACAAGCAGCCTGCTTCCAACACGGCCATCGACGCAGTCGCCTATCCAGCTCAAACCCTACGCGAAGTGGCGAAAGAGAGTGAGACAAAGAGAGAGCGAGAGAGATCGAGCGAGCGGAAAATTTCGTAGTTCGAATATCAGATCTCAATGCGACGATCGTGGAGCTTCGCAAGAATCCAACACGACGCGGTGATGTTCATGTAGAGGATGGAAGAAAACCTACATCGCCTTCTATAGTGGATTTTATATTCCGATCTTCAGATTTGGTGTCCACCTGACAGGGCGACTGCTTGGCACGAGCAATGACGCTGATTTCAAGCTTCGAATCGAATTTTTTAGCACTTTGTGTCGATGGTGTTTGTCGTTTCTGATACAATTCTTTGACTGCGTCCGTTCCTCTTTCGAAAAGCGGTTGGAAATATTGCGCTGGAGTCACTGTAGGCACATTCGCGAACTCCATTCTGGATTTCTGCCGATTGTATCTCTTGAACTCTCGATTTTCTGCATTATTGATCGTGTGGATACGCCTTTCTATACTTCTCAGTTAAGGTTTGATTCTTCAGCAATCAATTCTTCATTGCTGCGATTAGCGGAGAGTCGCGAAATGGCGACGCTGCGGCAGAAGCAGCAGTATTTTGTGTTTGTCCATGGGGCTCAGCACGGGGCGTGGTGCTGGTTTAAGACCATCGAGCTTCTTGAGCAAGCTGGACATCTCACCAAGGCCGTGGACTTGGTGAGTGCAGGCGATAGCTCTGTGAACGCCGATGACGTGGAGTGTTTCGACCATTACAACCAGCCTCTCTACGAGGTGCTCGAATCCCTTGGCACTAATCAGAAGGTTAGATTCGATGATTTCACTTCAATTGCTTAGTGTCATCAATTAGGGATCAGATTACGCATCATCTTCTACATTGTTCAGGTTTTTATGGTCGCCGTATCGTTGCTCTTCATCAGCAAGAGCATCTAGAGAAGGAGAAGTAAGATGAGCTTTACTTGTGCGATTTTGTAGCTTCACTTTTGTTATCGATGCGATCCATACGAAAGCAATCCGTTTTCTATATTATCTGGTTAAGACATTCCGAGCACTGGTGCTTATCATGCAGGTTATTCTCGTTTGTCACAGCATGGGTGGCACAACTGTAGCGCGGGCATGTGAGCGATATCCTCTTCGCATTCATGTGGCAGTCTACATAGCTGGTGCTATGCTCAAGAGTGGAATGTCGCAGAGTGAAAATCACGACGAGGCCAGCAAAACTCACCTAGAGAACTCTAATCTTCGCTTAGTGACTAGCGATTTGTTGTGTTGATGTTCACCTCAGAATTTTATGAAGACAACACAACACTAACTATCAAGTCTTGTGAAACAGGTATTCAGAGAAACATCGAAAGATGCACAGTTCCACTTCGGCAAGGGGGAACAAAATCCTCCAACCTCGTGCTGGCCATCCTTAGAGATTGTTACGAAAGCTTATTATAATTTGTGCTCCTCTGAGGTATTGCTCTCTAAATCTTTCACACGATGAAGACATGTCGTTGTGTAGTTTGAATGTAGGTTTTCGTGATGTCGTCCTATCTTCACTTGTTTTTTGTGAATTTGGATTTCTTAGGACTTGCTTACATTCTGGCCTTGAGTTACAGGACATTCAGTTTGCAGCGAAGCGTTTGGGAGGAGTACCAATAATGTGTGACGATGCCACAATATTCACAGCGAACTATCATAGTGTCCCGCGTGTGTACATTCGGACCTCTTTTGACAAAGCTATAGCGCCTCATTTTCAGGATCGGTACGTATTGCAAAACCCTCCAACAGAGGTCCTTCATTTAGAATCAGACCACAGTCCATTTTTCTCTGCTACGAGGGAGCTTAATGAACATCTGTTGTATGTTGCTGCTACGTATGCAAACTAATGCTGCTACACTCGCCTTCTAAGAAGGGTTACGAAGGCTTGTGGTTGATATAGCTTTTTGTAAAATGGAGGGTAGGTTGCACAAAGTAAGTCCACTTTAGTCGATACCTAAGAAATTTATCCTTTGCATCGATGAGTCATTGGTTTAATATTCACAGTAGGTCTGACTTGCAATCCATGATCGTGTCTGTTTCAATACAAGTGACTAGTGCTTCAGCTTTATTTAATAGGTAATATTACATTTAGAGACGCTTGTGCTTCCTATTACTCTATTTCCGTTCTGTACAAATCTGCGTCCCAACGAATCCTGATCAAACTTCCGGAAGATCGAGTGTCTTCCTGGCTTGAGAAAATTTGTTCAACAGCATTCGAAATTCCTTGAAACATCTTGAGCATAATTTCTTAAATACAGTCGAGCAAAATTGAATGGTGTATCTCTCCTCCTGCATCTGCTGTGTAACCTCTACAGGGAATGGTGTAGTTGAAGAGTCTATCCGGGATGAAGTCAACAAGTGAGTAGTATTATCTCTACTTTGTCATAGACCCAATTAGTCCTTCAAATTCTCAAGAGTGAGGCTTTATGCTCTCCTTGAACGAATTCTAGCAAGATTAAACACTGTATTTTGAGGTTCATTTCAACTAAATGACTTCATTATGAAGCCATTCCATACAGTTTTTGCTCTTGCATTTTATTATCTTCTGTTCATGTGGAGAAAATGTGCCGAATGAAGAGTTGGACTTGTTAGTCTCGTTAACAAAGTTATTGTCACCTTGAGTTAGTTATTACTTTTACGATACTATAACCACATTACCTGGAGCTTGTCCACATTTAAGACGTGCACTGCTCCTCCGTGTTTCTCTCTTTTTTGTTCTTATTCATACAATAGGCAGAAGCTTATTGCTCTCAATCCAGTTCCTAAAGAAGTCAAGCTCTCTAACTCTAACTATAGCGCGTGGAAATATCATGTTACTTATGCAATGAAGGAGCAACTATGGAGCATTTTGGAACCACCAAAGGACAACAAGAAATCACAAGAATTGAATTACAAAAACCAGGAAGCAATAATCAACATTTTGGTTTACTCCATCAGACTAGATTTATTGGGAAACTTAATCAGCTTTCACGATCCAAAGAGCCTTTAGGATTTTCTTGAAGAGACTTATGACATCAATATAGACAGTAGGAAGTATCATCTGAAGAACAAGTTTTTAGTTGTCACCATAAACGAGGAGTCTAGATTCAAGTTATATTTCAACAAGTTCAAAACCATATTGTCTCAGCTTTCATTTTTTGGCGTTACCATTGCAGATTTTGACTTAGTTCAGATTGTAATGAAGAACATACCACATAGTTACGACCACTTCCTGCAATATTATACAAGTGCAGGTAAGTATCTATAGTTCAATGAATTGCAAACCAATGTCATGCTTGAGGAGAGCAGTCTTGTTATGAGGTTAAACGAAAAAGAAACAAAATATGGCTCAAACAAAGCTCTCTACTTTCGGACTAACAAGCCAACTCAACTTATTCAGAACTTGGTGAGTCTCTTGGGGAGACCACCAAACATTGCAACAAGCTTCCCCAATTTAAACTTGTGCAACTACGGTAGAAGAAACACACATTGGAAAGGGATGTGTCAAGAGAGACTTGCTGATATACTCAAGCTAGAAGCTGATAGACATAACAAACCAAGTTTTGCTAACCTTATGCAAGGAAAAAATTTATGGAGCCTTCTTTTGATAGCATGGATCTTTCTTACCAAGAAGATGTTTTGAAGCAACTGTTTTTGCATTAGATATTCAAGGGAATGACTCTAGATGGTACTTTGACTTTGATGCTACAAAACATGTTAGTGGAAGTAGGAATTTCTTTGATAGTCTAGAAAAATATGAATGAAATGTCAAAACCACAAGATGGCAAAATTATGCCATTATTGGACGTGGTATTGTAATATGTGTTGTCTTGTTTGAAAATGCACCAAGCATTTGGCTGTGGAAGGTGAAGTTGTGCTTTACAAATATCCAAGAAATCCTAATAGGTTTCATCCAAATAAGAAGAATGTAATTCAAATTTTAATTCAAAAGTACTTATAAACCAATACAAAGTACTAAAAAACATTCTTCTTAGTAACTTCAACTATACATAAACTCTAATTGCCTTATTACTTTCATGATTAGGTAATTTTGATTTTTCTTTCGAGCCATAATCTTAGTCAATGAGCTTTAGCAAGCTATAATTTCTAATCTGACCATATACTTAGTGTGAAATTTTCATCTAAATGCCACTATAAGACTTCTATATGTTTGGAAAAATTCAGTTCAATCTGAGTTACAAATTGTGAAAAAAAGTTCAAAAACCGTACTAATATCTCTTGGCTACCACATTGAAAGTTGATATAGATGTTTTAATAGCAATTTTTTTTTCTCCAATTATTAAATTTAATTCAAAATCAGTATGAAGCTTAATCTTAAAGTCTTTTAACACCATGCCAAATTTTACTTTGATTCAATAAGTAGAACTTTAGATATCATAGAAATCCTACCTAATTCCAAACTGCCAACTTCTACTACCTTCTTGTATCAAAACCCAAATATCTTCTAATTGCATCTTTAAATTAATACAAAATTTTACACACTCTTAGTACACCCATTTAAACAAGCATTATCAAATTTTGAATTGTAGATGTGACACCAATTGCATGAACTAGTTGAAAGAACTAGCTCTAATTGTATTGCATAAATTCTAAATCATCAATATAAACCTTGATTTTGAACAACAATTGCAAAGTCATTCCAAACCCTATAAAAATAAGTTTTATACTTATAAAATAAGCTTAAAGCTAACTCATGAATCTTAATTGCTAATCTTGAAATATTTCTATAGTTTGCTCTATGCATCTATTTTAGTGGCTAGAGATCTGATTTTGACTTTGTTCTACAAACGACTGACCCCCGAGTATCAATCCAACCTATCTTAGGAATTTTTTAGCCTGATCCTACCTTTAACCTGATCTTAGTATCAATAATATTATTTATTTATTTCTTCTATCCTATTTTTATTAATTTATGACTTTTTGAAGATAGTAAAAAGAATTCTATAATTTAGAAGGTAAAATTACTAACCAACCTTTAATCTACCAGCTATGAAGACAAGAAAATAAACTAAGAGGCTTTTATAAAAGCCATGTTTAAATTTCTTAAATTAAATTCGAACCAAGATGATTAAATATTAATTAAAAATATTTTTGATTATATTTTCACCATATAGTTGTATTACAATACAACAATGGATCTATAAATTTCATCTTACCTTTTAAGAGAATAAAGAGCATATCCAACATTTTGTATGTTCCACGCCTCAAAAAAAACTTTCTTTCAGTGGGCTTAATAACCAACAAAAGGATGTATTACATGCTTCAATAAAAAAAAAGTATATATTATATAGCAAAGAATAAAAAAATACCATAGCATAAGAAAAAAAAAAAATCCTTAGGATAGACTGTATCAATTGATGATTTAAAATATTGAGATTGAAATACCACAATTTCCTTAGATTAAGGTAGAAATTTCTTTTGCCTTCATCTTAAATAGAATATCAATCCATTCTAATCTAAATATGGCTCTATATTAAAAATTATTAAAAAATAAAAAAAATAAAAAAATAACCATTTTTTAATGATATTTGGATCTAAGATTGCAAAGTATAATTCTTATTGATGGAAATAAATATGAAAAATTATACTTAAAAATATTAAAGGAATCTAGGTTGGCTACAACAACAAAACTAAAGACTATTTCTATTATGTATTAAAAGAGAAGAAATTAAAAATTACACAAAATATATGCTTTGACAAAACTTGTATATTATCTGGTAAATAATTTGGGCTTCCTTCCATATCATATCACCCAATTCAATTGCAATCTCTTTTGCCTCTTTAGTACAAATCATCACTACTACTTTTAATAAATCAATTACTATAGCTAATTGACAACAACATCGAGATGTCCTATTAAATATACATCTAAATTTGCCTCTTCATGCAACATACCATGTATCCATTAAAAATCTAGTCATTTGCAAGCTTCTACTAATAACATATTTTCTATTATCTAGATTGCATGAGAATATCACATACATTGCAAAACACTTAGTTGATCTAAATATATTATAAATAGATTATTTTTATATATTAGCTAAAAAAATAATAAATCTCTTCACTTATGCCAAAGCTAACTGACATTTAGACTAGCGCTTTACAATGGAACAAAAGAAAAATTCAACATTCAAAAATAAAACTTAAAAAGTTATTGACCTCTCTATGGATAATAATTTGATTATTAATAAAATGAGTGTATAAGACTAAAATAGATTTTGATGGACAACTAATCAAATTAAAAGCTAAGCTTATAGCCCAAAGATATCAATAAGTAGTAGAATAAGATTATTCCAAAATATTTGTCTCCCTTGTAAAGTAAAACTTCTTCTCGAAAAACTTATTTGTTTGATGTATCACAATAAATAATAGTTACAGCTATGATACATGTCTAAAAATAGCTAAGTATATGGCACCTATAACAAGTGAAGTACTAAAAAAAATTTCAAGTCATCTAAGCAATTGTGGAGATCTTAATGTTTATATACAATTGTCTTTATTATTTGGCTTTGTAACTACTAATTCTATAGCAAAGCCTTCTATTTTAACTTTAATATAAGATGAAGATATTAATATTAAAAATATTGTACATATTTTGGCTTATAAAGTAATGAATATACCTATATTTTTTAATATTGATCTCTTGGCTTCAAAAATTAAAGAAGTGAAGATCTCTCAATTAGCATATAAAATGTTGGAAGGCAAAGTGCTTATGCTATTGTTATAAGGGACTTAAGCAGTTATAAAGCTTTTTATATAAAAACATTTAGATAAATTATAAGCAAAGCTTGAAATTAAAGCTACTTCTATATTTAAAAAAGATTGCTTGAAGGCCTTAAATATAAATCCTTGAAGTGATGTACCATTAGCTACAAAGGTAGCAATTTTATCTCATATTGTATCTAGACATGCTCAAGAAAGTTATAATTTGTACTCAAGAATTGCACAATTAGTTATCAATAATAACATGCTTGTTGTTATTGTTCAAAGAGAAGTTAGAAGCCACAACACTTAGCATTAGCAAGGTTGGACACAAAATAAAGTGTCGAGTAAGATGACTCTTACTTCCAATACTTTTTACTTATAATTGGAGTTTATATTGATTGTAGATGAACTTATTTGTTTTCACCTTTCTTTCTTTCATCCAACTAGATCCTAAATTCCTCTTAACTTAGCTGTGATAATAGTAATATATTTTAATCTTTTATTATCTTTTTACTATTAGCAACTTACTTTGATTTAATTCTATGTGGTGGCAACTATTCAAGATCTTGTTGATCTTCAACACTTCTACTTAGTTAATTGTCAAAAGGCTTTTAAGCCTAATGCCTCTATCAACTTATGGTATCTATCCTTTACCAATGCTTTTATAAGCACATCAGTGAGCATATTTTTTGTAGCACAATACTTCATACTTATTATTCCATCTTCAATTTTTTTTAGTATAAAATGATGTTGAACATCAATGTACTTGATGTGTGAATGATGCTTTGGAATATTAGCAAATGCAAGACATCCTTGATTATCACAAGTTATTGGAGTTGCTTTCAATTGTACTAGTTCAATGTCTTCTAAAAATTTTCTTATCCAACATGCTTCCATTATACAATGATTTGCTACTATGTACTCAGCCTCCATGGTTGATCTTGCAATGGTAGGTTGTCTTTTTTAATTCCATGAAATAGCTCCCACTCCAATAAAGAATAGATATTTCATTATCAACCTTCTATCATTTACATTTTCAGCCCAATTCTCATCACAATATCCTTGTAAATCAATGTTATTACCACCAAGGCATAATTTGAAGTTATTTGTACCTTTCAAGTATCTCAATATCATTTTTATCATTTTTCAATGTAAAGATCCTACTTTAGACATGTATTGGCTCACAACACTCACATTGAATGCAAGATCCATTCTTGTGGCCACCATTGCATAACTGAGCATATTGCTATTTTGTATGGAATATATAGTATTTTGCCTCAATTTGTGCATATACTTCATTCGTGAGCTTCATCAACTTCAAATTGGTATCCAAAGGTGTTTTCGTAGGCTTGTACTCCTCTATATTGAATTATTTCAATATTTCTTCAACGTACTTGGTTTGGTTCATTGTCATGATCTTATTAATACAATCTCTTACAAACTCAACTTCTAAACACTAGTAGAACTCCCCCAAATCATTCATTTCATACTCTTTTTTTAATATAGCTTGCATCTAATCTATATTTTCATATTATAAGCCAAGATGA